CCTGCCTTCTCCAACAGAGGACAGAATAAGTACAGACCACTCTGACTTCGGTAAGAGGAAGAGAGTTTACCAGTTGAGGCCACTTGATCTTTGGGGGCTCTGCTTATTCCTCCTGTGTTGATCTATCAGATACCTCTGGCTGCATGGGGTTTATAATTTAACTATATATTGGGGTTGGGGGGCTGGCTCTGACTTCTTCTTCATGCCCTGCTTGGCTCTATGATATATGTTGGCAGAAGCCTTGTAACCTCAGCTCCCTAACAACCGTAGAACTCAAACTGGCACCCAGCGTGTCCTTAGCAGAGAGCATGTTGAGGAGTACCTCCCAGAGGAGGCTGAGCCGTATGCAATGGGAATCGCTTACTTGTTCTTTTAGATGCAGACTCCCATCTTTGACATACTGAAATTTTTAGCAGCTAGAAACATGAGCTACTCAAAGATGGGAGTCTATACTAGACACACATGTGATTCCGTCTCACTTGAATCTTAATGACTGGAGTCTCCGTCCCCTTTGACTATAGACTGAGATCACATCCCTATCCAAAACCAAAAAACCAACAACCAATCCGCTGTCATCAAGTCGATGCAGACTCACAGAAGCTCTATGGGACAGGGTGGGACCGCCCCGGGACTTTTTCTGAGCCTGTGACTGTTCCCTAGAGCAGAAAGTCCCGTCTTTCTCCTGTGAGGCTGCTAATGGTTTTGAACTGCTTACTTCTCAGATCACAGCCTAACATGTAACCACTCTGCCACCGGGGCTCCTTCTCTCGTCCCCATAGATTTCTGAAAATCCTCAGTAAAACTCAGGCGCTCTACAAGTCAGCTCTGAATCTCTTGACCCCTAAGGGGTCCCTATAGCCCCAGTATCCTGCTCCATTCTTCCCCTGAACCACACACGCCAATCTCAGGACTGCTTCCTCCCAGACGTCTGCCCTCCCTGGTCCTGCTCATACTGGTTTTAGGTATAGACCCTTCCCATACTCCCCTAAGTTCAGAAGTAATGCAAGGGACGTTGAATATAGAGAGTCATGGACACACTGTCGCTGTATGGCTGTCCACAGAGTCCCTGGCCCAAATCCTGGGCCATTTTCAAGAGAGGTCCCTGAAAGCTGCTTCCCAGCCTTACAAATGGGCCCGCTTCCCTCCTGGAGATAAAAGGGCCTTCAATCAGATCTTCTCTGCCCATGACCCAGACTTAACATGCAAGAAGCCCCAGAGAGGAGGAGACATAAGCCTCCTTTTAAGCTAAAGCCTAGCTGCCACTCCCCAGGAAGTGGTGGATATGGAAAAGTCCACTTTCTTTAAGAAACCCTACCTTCGAGAGCAGCGGGTCTCAACCTGGGGGTCGAAGGACCCTTTCACAGGGGTCACCCAATTCATAACAGTAGCAAAATGACAGTTATGAAGTAGCAACAAAAATAATTTTATGGTGGGGTCACCACCACATGAGGAACTGTCTGAAAGGGTCGTGGCATGAGGAAGGTTGAGAACCACTGTTTAAAGAGAGTCTAATGTTATCGGCCTAAAACCTAATGCTCCAATGTCAGTATATTCTAGATTGCTCACACAGCAGTCAGTATTCCAGTAGAGCAAAACTGATCATGGTCTGGAGTCAGTTCATGGTCCTTTCCAACCTGAGATTAAGAATGAAGAAACCTGGCCCTATTAATGGGAAGACGGGGCCACTAAATCAATTCTGACTTACGGTAACCCCCTGGGACAGGATAGAACCGGCCACTTTGAGTTTCAGAGGCTGTCCATCTTTATGGAAGCTGAAAGTCTCGTCTTTCTCCCTTGTAGAAGTAGGTGGTTTTGAACTGCTGACCTTGCCCCCATGTAACCAACTGTGCCATTGAGCTCCTTGGGGCAGTGTATAAGAAATAAGAGATGAAGGAAGTGAAGGTCACGGGGCTAATGGAATACTTAAAGGGGGAGAGGGGTGCCACTGAGTACTTCTGGGTGCATCGTGGTGTTATGAGCCCAGAATCAGCGTGCAGGAGAAGCAGGGGACAAGCGAAAGTAATGGTTCTATTTGGGGCCTGTTGAACTTGAAGGGCCTGTAAGCTTTCTGAGTGGTGATGTCCAGTAAGAAATCGATGAGACCACAGTGAGCGATTCACGTTCCAGTATTCTGTGATAGAATGACTTGGGAAAGAATGACATCCCAAAGAGCCCAACCTCCGGTCCTCTTTCTCCCTCCTTTTTCTCATTTCTCTTTGGGAAAGATACAGAGTCTTCTTCTGGTCCCAATCCCAGTGGGTTCCTCCTCGCCTCTGAGCCCTGGGCAATCCCTGCTGACAGTAGGCACACCCTCTAAAGTCTCACCTCCCTCCGTGGGCTGGTCAAGACATTTTCCCAAGCAAAGCCGAGTATTTCCTCCTGTCACCCAGCAACAGGTCCTACATTGGACTTAAGGGTGAGTTCACTGGGCAGAATTATTGGTAATCTAGGATTGTCCTGGCTGAAACACCCGCCTGAAGTATAGGAATCGTAGCATAAGTCTTGGATATTTCCTTTTCTGTTTTTCTTTAAAAGCATGTGAAATTGGTCATCTCAATACATCAGGCACATACAGCTATAATCCGAGCTCAAGAGATGAGCCCCACATCTACATTTTGGTACTGTTTTGTGCACATTTCTCGTTTAATGTCCCATGTGTGGTCATCCCTGGTGGATAATGGCTCTCTTCTGCTCATTTTTCATTCTTCGTGGACTCATTCTATATGGAGGACCCAGAGTTTTCTAGCAAATCTTTTAATACACAGCGTGATCCGAGGACTTGAGGCCGCTGGCTGGGTTCCCTCCAAACTCAGCCCCTCTACTGAATACCAGCCACGGGGCAAACGCTGGTCTTTGTTCGCCCTGATCCTCTTGTCCAGTGACTGCCCTTCAGTCCATTATGTGGGGCAGGAAAGTTGCTGGCTCGGCAGTGAACCCATTGGGCCTCCCCACACCGTGCCTAATTGTATTCCCTGTTCTCTGCTACCAGATGCAGTAAATTACATTCCCTCCCAGCTCCCCAGCCTGCCAGTCCTCTGTTCACCAACACCAGAACCACCGTCAGCTGGGCAGGACGGGACCAGCAAAGTGGCTGGTAAGTCCCGGGGAACTAGGTGGTTTTCAAGCCAGGACTGGCCATGGGGGTTGCATTTCGCCGAACTTTTTTTTAATGAGATAGGTGTCCAGTAACCTTTCCCAGGAGGACCTTGACAAAGGTCACCCCAGCCTTAGGCAAAGTGTTTGAAGTGGCCACACAGAGCAGGCACTGGCCCCTAATGAGTTATTGGATCCAAATCGGAGGGGTAGTGAGGCCCGACTAGAGCTCCAATGGGTTGCTCTGGTTTGAGCCCCTGCTGAGAATTTTTTGGGGTGGGGGTTGTTTGATGTTTGCTTTTCCATCCCAGGTGTACTGAATCAGAATCTAGAGTTTAGCGAAATCCCAGGTGATTCCTGTAGCCCTCCCGGTAATGCTCCTACATACATAATCTGTGTACAGTGAACCCTCGTTTAACGCGGTTAATCGGTTCTAGACCCTACCGTGGTAAATGAAATTCCGCGAAGTAGGATTCCTTATTTGTAAATCAAATATTTTCGTAGTTAGAGCATAGAGGACATGAAAAAACACCCTTTAGTCACCATTACACTCGTATTACCCAATTTATTAAACGAAAAAGGGAAAATACAGCAAAACATTTTGGATGTTACAATTATCATTTATTATTTATTATATTACGTATGGCATCTAGTTTACAGTATTACATATTTCACATACAGTATTATTATACATAGTTCTTACAAATACTGTAATCAATAGCCTATGAAATGACTTAAGGGATGTACTCTACAGGTGGGTCGCCGTCTTTTTCCTCTGAAGGAGCGGGTGTAGGCAGTGGGTGCTGTTAAGCAAAAACCGCGATAGAGTGAAGCCGCGGAAGTCGAAGCGCGAAGTGGCGAGGGTTCACTGTATACGTCAGTGCATACATACAAGTTGTAAGAGTGTATATATACACCTTATTTCTTATGTAACATTGCAATAATTTACCGATACTAAGAATCTCCTGGTAATTTGTTAAAATTCCGATGCAGTATATGTGGGGAGGGGGATGCAAATTTCTTAGCCAGGGCTCCAGCCAGAATGGCGTGCTGTGCACCTTGGATGTAGAGTCTTCACCCCCAGCATCAAGGTAGTCTGTGTCCTTTGTGGTTCCCGTTCATGTTTGCGGTTCCTGCCTGTATTCTCAAAACGCATCTGTGCTCTGCCTCTGGGATTGTTTTCCGCCCCTCTTGGACTTGCACAGCATCAACAGCGTGATTGTTGAAGATGGGTGGAGAGTATTCAAGGCTGCTGTGGGTACTGTTGGAACCCTTGGAGGAAAGCGCTGTTGGCATGTGATGCATCTCTATCCCACAGCCTTCACTCGTTCGCAGTTATTTCTTCACCACTCGAGCATCTCTCGGGTGGCGGCAGGCATCGAAATGCGAATGTTTCTTGGTGGCTGCTTCTCAAAGCTGCGGAGTTTAGAGAGGGATGCGTTTAGGGGGATGGCTCTTGTCAATAGGGATGCTCCTGAGAGGACAGAGCTGGCAGGATGTGAACAATGGATCTCTATGCCAGCCCACTCTGTGGAGAAATGTGCCAAGAGCTTGGGGAAGGGGGGGGGGGAGCTGCAGTCAAAAGGAATTGTCAAAGGTCACATCGTGCTCATGTAGTTCAATCCAATAGGGACATAAATTAGGCTTCACATGCCTTAGGGGAAGTTATGTCTGAAGTTAATCACAGAAGGACACCTGTCACAACACCAACACCACCCCCAACATTAGCATCATTTGAACTAGAAGAAACCTTGTATATATAGACCAGCTTGAATGGCTTAATGTAAAAGCAACCTGAGAATAAAAAACAAGTAAGTGTTGGTGCAGTTATGTTTATTGGCTAAATTTAAATACCACTGGTCACCCCTGAAGCTTCTTGGCATAGCATCACTTTTATATAGAGACCCGTAGAGTTCTATCCCAGGGTGAGGCCGTGAGACAGACCCAGACAGGTTCAAGATGACAGTTACAATTGACAGTTACAAGCCAACTAAACCTATAGCCTGCAGTTGTCGGTCCTACAGAGAAATCAATGGGAATAGCTTAAACGGCAGACTTTTAAAAAAAGCTCCAAATTACTCTTATGAAATTGGCTTGGGTAATAACTGTCTAAAAGTCTCACACATAAACACACACACACGGCAAAACAGGGAGGATAAAGGGAGAATGGGTAG